ACACTACGGCGTAAGAAGCGATGCTCTTAAATTAATTATTTCATATTTAAGTGACAGAACGCAAAAAGTTGTCATCAATAGTAAGAGATCTTCCGGGTCGAATGTACAATCGTATGGGCGTGCCTCAGGGCTCAATTCTCGGCCCCTTTCTGTTTCTTGTATATATTAATGACTTACCTTACATAGTAGGGGATAACCATGATATAGTATTATTTGCTGATGATACTTCATTAATTTTCAAATTAAAACGACAGTTATTAAATTACGACCAAGTAAATAATGCTATAACTAAGTTAGTCAATTGGTTTAATGTTAATAATTTGCATTTGAATGGAACTAAAACTAAATGTATGAAATTCGTCACTCCTAATATATGTATAATGTTAAACATGTCAATACTAATGTAATTTTAAATGGGGAGGAACTGAGTTTTGTTGATACCACTATTTTTCTTGGAATCACACTGGACGCAAAGCTTCAATGGCTCCCCCATATATCAAAACTAGCTAGCAGACTTAGTTCTGCAGCATATGCTGTAAAAAAGATTAGATCTCTTACCAGTGTTGAAACAGCTAGAATAGTTTACTTTAGTTATTTCCATAACATTATGTCGTATGGTATTTTGCTATGGGGACACGCGACTGACACTAAAATTATATTTATTTTGCAGAAGAGGACCATTAGAGCAATATATAATTTAAAACCAAAAGAGTCACTGAGACAAAAATTTAGGGAAATCAATAAATTAACTCTGGCCTCTCAATACATTTATGAAAATGTAATGTACGTACACAAAAATAAAAGTAGTTTTGCGAAAATAAGTGATATTCATTCTGTAAATACTAGGAGCAGACACAAGCTAGTAGTACCAGTTACTCGACTCCACCGAGTCAGTAATTCATTCTTGGGGCGATGTATACGCTTTTACAACAAAATCCCAGAAAATAAACAAAATTTGTCATACACAAAGTTCAAAAATGTTATTAAACTAAGTTTGTATAAAAAGCGTTATTATAATATTAAGGAATTTATGAATGATAATAACCCCTGGGATGGGTGATCGCTACCAAGCTATTTCTAATTTGTCTTGTGTTGTTAATTGTAAACATGATTGTAAGCTATTATTGGAAAAAAATAGTCCCGCTGGGTTTCTTGCTGGTTCTTCCCAGGACAGAGTTTTTTTTTGCGAACCAGTGGTAAATAAAAAAAGTGACTTTCAATAAGTATTGTTATAATCTATATTGAATAACAAAAGTTTCTGTTTCTGTTTCTGTAGCCAAGGCCAGAAAAAAATTCATTTAAAAACTATACCCAATTTCTTTTCAATCTTCTTATTTGGCGGGAATTTGATTCGTATGCAAAATAGAGAAACTCGAACTTCGTGCGGTTATTAAATATTTCTGCCTGATTTTTTTTCTACCAAATGTATTTTTGTAGAGCTTCAGTCTATTTAAGCAGAAAATGCTCCGTCTTATTTTACAATACAATGGCGTACTGGTGCGCTGAATTTAAACTCCGCAGAACCGCCGGCAATGACGACACTCGCATCGTGTGACCAAAAACAGCCGCTACGCAAGAAAACGTTATAAAATCGAAGAAACTGTTAAGGTAGATTGACGTGTGACCATCCGTAATTAACTGAGATTCTAAAGCATTCGTTTGGGATCAATTCAGTTTATTTTAAACTATACTTTAAAATTCAAAGAGGTGGCCGTGTCCTGGATTCCTCGAATGTTAACAGACGCTCCAAAAGAAATCAAGAGTTGACATTTAAAAGCTATATTCAAAGAGGTGGCCGTGTCCTGGATTCCTCGAATGTTAACAGACGCTCCAAAAGAAATCAAGAGTTGACATTTAAAAGCTATATTTAGCCATAATTGAAGTACATCCAGATTCTTTTTGCGCTCGTTTCGTAACCGTACCCACGTTTTAGGGTACACCATTTAGAGCCGGAGACGAAAAACCAAAGCAAGGTATGGAAAAGATCGTCTTCCCCGCCAGCCAGGAGATTCAGGCCCGCCACGTACATACGGAATACCGTTCCGATATTCCGTTTTGGAATACCGATTCAGGATTCCGAACGCAGCAAGTCCATATAAAATCAAGGACCCGTCACACACCTACGGTAGTTCTCCGTCCAAAATTTTACGGACAAAATGGGATTCGGTATGTAGTGTGTTATTAAGGTTTCTACGTCCGCTGGAAAAATAATGGCCTATGTCTTCTGGGATGCGGAACATATAATAATGATCTACTATTTAAGTAAAAGCATTGACTTATATACTTGTCTAATGGTTATTTTACTCTATGCTTTGTTTGCTACCAACGAAATAGTTTCAATGAAATTAAAAATGTGTTACGTAAAATATTTAAATACATAATATATGCGTGACCTGTTTGACGTACATTGATTTCCATTAAATAAAGTGAACAGGGCGCGTGCTTTATAATATTATTTATAATCTATAGTACGTGACGGTAATATGGTCATCCGGTTAATATGGTCACTTTCTTATAACTCAAAAACTACAGCCTTGTTTGCACTAGATGGCTTTGTGATACGATATAATACATTGATTTATATAACACTAGATCAGTAATAACCACGCCAAAGCGTTGCCACTGCACATATGGCCACAGCCATATGCCTAGCTAACGTGAATTCATTGTTCAATGTGACGCCGACTGAGTTGAGCCGCGACAAAAATGGGTAAATGCGTAGTGAAAGAATGTTATTCATGGTCACAAAAACGTAATAAATCAAGCGGAATCACTTTCAACACATACATTTTAGTTCTTGTTTTCATTAAAACTTAAAAAACCTCAAATAATTAAATAAAATTATCGAATATTGCCATTTAGGTTCAATGTTGCCACTTTTCCGCATTTGTGATTATCCTACATTAATTAATGGGAGACTATATAATTAATTGTGTAAGTTAATTTGTTACCTCTGATTTTAAATATTTTGGAAATTATAATAAAAACTACGTTTTAACTTTCATACAAAATAATTAATTATTCTTATTTTAGTTTATTCATGAATTATCTATAAAATATATTTTATTACCTATTTTATATTAATAATTTTATATTATTTATAATTTCATATAAATTTTATATTAATTATATTTTATTACCTATTTTATATTGTTTGATTTATTAGTACCATAAATATAATCATTATGTTTACTTCTATTCCTCTGATAAGCTTTGTAATCTTTTTTTCTAAGGGGACGTAATAAAGATTTTAAAATGAAATATACTTTTTTAATATAAAAACAATTAACTTAATTATATATAATATATATAATTATGGCTCTTCATCACTCAATCAAGTATTAAAGGGCCAAAAGAGCGATGCTTTATCTACGTCATTTTGACAGTTAATATTAAAGTAAATATTTTAGTCGATTTTAGTATGATGTAATGTAGTTTTTTTATAGTAGTTTTTAAGTGTTCCTAATTATCGCCGAAGCTTGTTTGCAATTTTTTTCTTAATATATTAGTTATAGTATACGACTTTGTGTTTTTGTCCCTGTCCTCCTTCTAGTTTTGGTTTTATAGGTCGGCAAAGCTTAAGCTGACCATATTACCCTCATGTACTTTATACGTAATTATTAGCCGATTTGAAGAAAAAAAGGTTCTGAATTCGAATATACTTTCTTTTTTTGTATATTACACGATATTTTTGTTAATTGTGCACATATTTTAATGATTCATTATTTATTATTAAATAGGATATAATATACTTGAAAGGTTCAATTTTATACCGACTAATGACAGTGTATCCTATATATCAAATATCCACTACCCCATATCATATAGGGAAACAACCCAGGCGATTTACAGCAAAATCTTTCTAATAACAACTAAACAATGATAAAAAACTGCAGCTGCCAACCCATCTGCCAAACGTGGCAAATATGGCAATATACACCCTATAAATAAAAGTTCAAACAGACAAAACCCATGGCCCCGCTGGCCCCGATATTCCTGGCTACCGTGGCGTCAACGGTAACGGTGGGCAGGAGGTACTAAGAACTTCCAGTGGAGGTTTAGACGCCAACTTAAGCAACTAACTAATGAAAAAGAGCACAATTATAATAAATCAATAAATATAAATAAATAAAAGACTTGATTTGGAAACCATTAACGTATGCATCGTGAGGACTGACGAAATGATTCAGGTGCTGCAAGAAGAGATAGAAGTTGTGCTGGAATTATATTTTGAGGTCCAAAGAGAGGAAGAAGACGCGGTAATCCTCGAATCTAGCAACTTGTTCTATCACCGAGAGGGCGACCAAATCATAAGGAGATAAAGAGGTGTTAGATTTATTGTCCGCAAGTCTCTCGTTAACAACGTTGTAAAGATATGAAGTGGTTTTTTTTTTTAGAATAAGTGTGACAAAGGTGCGGCTAAAGTCGCGTACATTGTAATCATATAAAATATAACATTGAAAGAATTGAACTTTTAAATTTTAAAAATTTAAAAAGTATAACAAGTCAAAGATACCTTTGATTAACATTCTTGGTCAATACCACTTTTAACCGATATAATTTGGCCACAATTACCATTTACCAATAGTTTTGCAGTTAAATGTAGTTTTGACCAGCGTCCTTAGTCAAAACTACTTTTCCCTGATTTTTGCAGTCTAATACCAGTCTAGTACCAATAAAATACAATACAATCTAGTAAAGGAAATTATAATATGTAAAGCAATAATTACACTGAAATGTTCCATACCCCAATGTCATAGTTAACCATGGCCACTTCCAAAAAAAATTGAAAAACACGTGAAGTCCACAAACACTCATTAGACGGCACGGGGGGAGAGTGGACACTTCCTTGCCCTTCAGCCTCAGAAAATGACAGGTTACTTCTTACTTCTGTCCGAAAGTTATTTTTATATTGCCCTTTATATTGCCTACATGGAAATATTGAAGGCGAATAATTATAGGAAATTAATATTAAAAATTAACGTTTTATAGATAAATACCTTTCTTAACGGCTGCTTCAATTGCGCACAGGCCAGTCATGCCAGTAGAACCAAAAATTACAATCTTCTTCATTTTCTGAGGAAAAACGAGAAAAGGTGTTATGAAGTAGTTATAAAACCATGCTGTAACAAAGATAAAGTGAAGAAAAATAATACTAGCCTTCACTAGAATTATTCTAACCAAAGATAAACCGTGTAGTAGCGGTGTAGGAACATCCACTACCCCACATCATCCCGTGGGTGTCGTAGGAGGCGACTGAGGGAAGTCATCATAATAACAACTAGAAATAAAAAGCTGCGGTTGTCTGAGGCAATATATGGCCTGGACAACAGTGAACTTTAATAGGCTGTAATGGATGGATGCATAGAAGATAATCTACCAGGAGCACATGACCCACTGAGAGGTGAAATTACTAAATCAACAGTAAGATAATGGTCGGTACATACGACAACGATTTATCGTTGCAAACTGACTGCGCAGACCATTTGTGCAGTTTTATCGAACGTGTGTACGAAAATCGGCGCAGATTTTATGGTTGGTGCAAGCCATCGGAGCAAGGTTTAAAATCTATTCGATAAATCGTTGTCGACATGTAGTGTATGTACGGAAGTCGGACCAATCATTCAGTTCGTTCGCATGTTCGTTCGTTTCAGAAATGATTTGACTGAGAGCCTGTTTTGATATCAACGTAGAAAACTTCATACATTCGTACGAGCGACCTGTAGCTATAAACCTCAGAGTTGCAACAATCTTTCATGAGAACCTATTGCTTCTCTCATCATGGTATTGCTTTTTTGTACGAGCGGTGTAAGAAAAACAGGAGGTGTAAGTAAGTCTCTTCATTCATCGTCAAATAATTGTGCCAGTCTTTTAGGGAAAATTTCAACTTGTTTAATAAATTTATGTGAGAGTATAACTTTCTTTTAAGAAGCCAATCCCTACACCACACACTACGTGATTTTTTTTTCTTTTTGCACAAAACAAGCCAGGCTAGCGCAAGCGCTTCGTCGTCTTCCATCACGAATGACGTGTTTTTCTTCTGAGTTTCTGCTGAGAGCTGACGATCGACGCAGGCATAGTAGATGTGTGGACGCACTACCAACGTTCGGTAAACTGCGCAAATGAACTATGCAGTTCGTTCGCGCAGTTTTATCGTTGCCATGTTTATTTTTGCTCCCGAATCAAATATGGACAACCCTCCGGAAAGCGGGGGAGGGAAATGGGGAATGCTCATAGCATACCACGCAGCCGGCTGCGTGGTTATGTGGAGACTTTTACCCACTAAACCCCACCTTTTAGGGACTGGCTTAACGGTCTAACTAGAGATCTCTAGCCGTATACGGACGCGACCCTCCTTGGCAGAAAGGAGGGCGCAAAGTTGCCATGTATACGGGTCTTTACAATACATACTACCCGTGCGGTTAAAGAATGGGATTGAAAATGGCGTCACCTTTATTCACCTCTAGCTCTCACACTGTCGCTATCTATACTTATTCACACGCACCGGTAAAGATTACAAAAAAATTACGTTGCGGTATTCGTTTTTTGTACGTTCTATAACTTCAGATCAAGTTGAAATCAATGATAACAAAATGCTATAAACTACAAAAAATTTAGTCCGGTTTCGCTAATGTTTATTTTGTTTGTTAATATTTTTGTATAAATTATTTACATGCTGAAAATTTTAGTTTACCTATCTGTCTGTCCAAGCTTACCTTCTAAATGGCTGAACCGATATTAATGAAACTTCACGACCAAATAGTGCCAGAGAAAAAATAGAGAGAATCAGGAGTGATCTGGATTAAATTTTATCTCATATATAATAGAAAAATTTAGATAATTTATTAAGATAGATAAATATTGGATAAGATAAAAAAATCTTTAATGAATATAAATTAACTTAGTCCGTTAGTTACATGTTATTTTAAAACTAATGTACCCACTTGCGTGTACAATTTTTTCAAGTATTTTTTCATTAATAGAAATTTTCCAATTAACCGAATAATATAAGCTACTGTGTATGTTGTCGGTACGAGCTCGATCAACCGCTATTTCTAATCGCGTTCTTTATCCGTACGGACTGTACATATACATAAGCATTCACGCCTGTCACCCAGAGGGGTAGGCAGAGACTACAGACTTCCATTTGGCATGATCCTGACACACCTCTTTCGCCTCTTTAACATTACAGCTATGGCAAATATGTCTGTCCCCTATGAGGCAATATATGGGGGAGGCCGTAGGTTCTGGCAGTGGACTTTAATAGGTTGTAATGGATGGATGTATAGAAGATAATCTACCAGGAGCACATGACCCACTGAGAGGTGAAATTATTAAATCAACAGTAACGTTACAACTATGGCAAATATGTCCCCTATGAGGCAATAAATGGGGGAGGCCTATTTTTAACAGTGGACTTTAATAGACTGTTACGGTAAATGTAACTTTAAAGAGTTTATGTAAATAGACTAAAAGTTCTAACTCCTAAGAGCGCTGCCTCTGCTCCCAAACGTCGCCCAAACCATGCTCAACTTATTGTAAAAACAAAACAGCCACTCATTCACAAATACGTATCTAAAAAATTTCGTCGTCACTTGAAATTGAATTGTATGTACTACACTCTTACCTGTATTATACGAAGATAACACTACTAACTTTATAAAAAATAAAGAAAGCTTAAACTTCAACTAAAGTTTTAAATCTGGAAACACTTTTAAATAAAAAAATATTCCCTATTTCATTCAATGTATACAGTTGCGATATTTAAACACGTTGATCAACGCAAGCGACTGCCAATGTAATGAATACGCTATTTCTTATTTTATGGCAAAGAAGTTCTGTATATCATTAAGTAACTACTTACTGTGGTAATGAATTTAAACGACGGAATAAATAACTTACAGTAATAAGAATTAGGTACTTACTGGTACTATAGTAATAAATGAAATTGTTGACCGTAATGTATGCTTAAGGGCGGCGACAGACTCGTTTCAAATGTCCAAATAGGCGTCGTCGGTGGTGGCAGTCAGTGACGTAAGAAAATAGAAAAAAATCTGGTAGTACAAATGTCAATCAAGAAATACCCATTTCCCATAATAGATTGTTATGGGCAGCTATATATAACATGAAACTATGTACAAGTAGGTCTACTGGCAGACAATATTTTATGGGATTCAATACCCTTAAAATGAAAAACGCCAAGCAATCATCCTACTGTCCATCCATCCATTAATACTCGTATGTTTTGTCGAATTTAAATTCTTCCTTAATGTTACACGCGTACTGCACTGTTCAAATGTGGTTTTTTTTATTTATTTAGGACAACCAACAAGACGTACACGAACACAATGTAAATACTACAAATTACGGGAAGGTTTATATCTAAGTGTCGTCTTAAATAAAGGTTGCCACGGCATGCAATGTGGACAACGGATATGTTTTTTTAAAACTTACAACTATAAACTTAAAACTAGGTCTAAATGTTAGTTAAAAGTAAAGGACTCCATAATTTTTCGTTTGAATTTTTGAGGCTTATCGGCAAAGATATCAACGTCACGTGTCATGCAGAGCTGGTTATATTGCCTCTGTAACCTGTTTATGGTGGCGTGGTGACCCAAATTAGTTTTACTGCCTTCGACTGAAAAGGGGACGTATCGGCTGACACGCACTAGCTTAAAAGGTACCTTGAAATTTATTGCACTTAGTAGGTATGGACAGTCTACGGTTCCATTAACGATTTTGTGTAGCAACATGAAATTCAGCAAAAGCCTCCGCTGTTGCAGGGTACTTAATTTAAAATACGTCAGTCGGTCTTCGTATGAGGGTAGATCTTTTATTTTGTAAGTTTGGTACGAAATATACTGCAAAAAACGCTTCTGGATACGCTCTATGCGTTTCACGTAAACGTCATAAAATGGAGACGAGACCTGACTACAGTATTCGAGGCTGGAACGGACTAAAGACTCGTACAAGGATATTTTTGTAGAGGTCCTCTTAAATTCTTTAGAATTACGCAACACGAACCCCAACATTTGAAGACCCCTTGTAACAATTCCATCAACGTGCTTATGAAACCGCAACTTTTTATCCAGAATCACACCCAGATCTCGAACAGAGACCACTTCTACCAAAGGGTGAGCATCAATATTATACATAGATGTCGGAACATTTACACATCTTGAGAATCTTATAATTTTACATTTATCGAGGTTCAAAAATAGTCTGTTCTTAACGCACCACAAAGACATCCGGTCCAAATCCTCTTGCAATAGGAGTGAGTCACTGTGGTCTTTGATTTTCAAGGACAATTTCATGACATCTGCGTACATGCGTACGCTAGGTCATTTATAAAAATATTGAAAAGGATCGGACCGAGATGGGAACCCTGAGGAAGCCAGACGTAGGTAGAAATTGTTCTGAGGAGTAACCATTTACCACAACTCTCGATTTTCTCTGCTTGAGGTATGAAGAGAACCATTCGAGAAGATTGCCAGTGATGCCCAAAATTGAGAGTTTGTAAAGTAAGATGTTATGATCTACAATGTCAAACGCCTTCCTGAAGTCTGTATAGATGGTGTCCACAGACAAGCGGGAATCGAGAGACTTGGAGACATAGTCCAGAAACGAAACAAGATTTGTAGCTGTAGATGTTAAAAAGCCCGCTTGTTGGGGTGAGAAAACGGAACAGAAAAAAAGTCTTCTTTTCTGTTCCGAAGCCGAGATGCCCGGTGTTCAGTCTATCTTGCGGATGATGTTTATTGTACTATATAGTTGCGCCCAAAAGCGTATCTCGCGAGCGAGGGCTGTTTAACTTAATTAAAATTGAGCGGGGACGTGGACTCTCAGGATTCTTTTTCGCAATACGTTAACAGTAAAATATATCCGCTTCATTTACAGGACAAGATACGGTTTTACCAAGTTGCTTAGCAATGGACAATAGGTTTTCAGACTTCCTTTCTGGAACGCATTGGATTTCCAAGTTTGAGGCGCGGAAGATTTGTTCGAGTTGGTAAAGCGACTGGTGATAGAGTTTAATTCATTCCGGAGGCATTCCTTCTCCTTTAAGATCGCCTCAATGTTGCTTTTACATGTAGTAATTTCAGTGTTTAGTTTGTCAAAAGAGTCGCTAATAAAATTTATGGAATCCTTTATAGAACCAAATTCGTTTCTAAAAGCTTTCAATTCCCTGTTTAAGTCCTCCTTTATCTCCCTAATACATTCCTTAATGAAACCTTGAAGTTCCTCCTGCATAATAGTACGCAACTCCACGCGCGACACACATGAGCCGGAGCAGCCGCTTTGTGCGGCTACGGAACCGACTATGGCTGCTTGTTTGGACGTTCCCTGCTTTCCACGTCGTGATGACATATTGGCGTCGGCGTGGGCACTACTAGTAGGTGATGACGGACGGACCGGCGTATTTGAATTATCACTGCGCGGTTTTTTGCTGCGACACTCAGGGCATATCCAACTCATCTTGGTGTCAGAAGAGAGTTTCCCGAATTCGGTGGGCGAAACACCAACGCACTGGCCATGATAAAAATGTAAACAGGTGCAGATTTCTAAGATATCGTAATCGTCAATCGTTGAATGACAAGCGGCGCATTGATGCATGGTGAGTGTTGTTTATTATAAGCAACTGGGTTTAACGTGGGACGGTCCGCACAGGTAGCACAAGCGGGTGCGAAAGTGGGACAGCAATTATGTCGACTATCTCTTATCGCGGCGGGGGTGCGGCAGGTCGTCCCGCAAATTAACAGCAGCGCGACGGAGCTGTTTTATTATAAATGTTTATTAAAAACGCACTATGCACTCACGAGACTATAGCAATACTACGTCGTTCACCTATTTACACAAAATCGCGCGCACGGATCGGGAATTTCATTAGATAGACCCATAACACGTCCACTACGAAAGCTTGTTTAGACGAGATTGATGGTTCGACGAAGGTTGCGTACCTTATGCTCAGAATCACCAAACGGTCTTCGCTGAAGGTCCTACAGGCTTACGTACCAACCTTGGCACATCCCGATGAAGGTGGAGGAAATGTATGAGGAGCCAGGCCATGCACTTTTTCCAAAGCCCCGTTCTCTCTTATGCCTAGTTTTGAGATTTCAACGCAAAACTAGGCACAAGAGAGAACGGTGAGCTGAAAGTAGGGGAAATTTGGAATTGAGCAGCAGCTGGGCGACTTTATGCAAATAGTGGGACTCTTTATAATGAACTCTTTCTTCCAGAAGCTTGACTTCATTATGACGACCAGACGACAACTGTTCAGTGATGTCTTAATGAAAACTGGCAGCGATCACACAATGCTGAGAGGCACACTGAACCTAAACGTTAAGTTGGAGAGTTCACATCTAATGAAGTCAAGTTTTTTTTTTAAATTAATTTCTTAGAAAAAGATATTCTTTATGTAATAAAAATATTTTTCATTTTAAGAATATATTTTGTAAACTTAATGTTTAAAAAATTTACCGTAGTCCCAGTGGTAGCAGCGTCGACAAGTTTGGGTTCCACGGACTTTCTTGGGGAAAAGTGCACGTAGGTTTTCCCGTGACGGTTCTTTGAACGATGTTATCCAAAGAGCTCTTGTCTATATAAATGTTGTATCGGTCATTTGACATTTTGGCTCTAATCTCTGGGGTACCTCGTTTGGAGCTGGGGTGGCATCAGAGGCAGCTGAAATAAGTAAATGGCACAAATATAAGTGTCTGAGAGATGACTACATACCTATTTGTCATTTGCTGTAGAGACTATCGGTCTGTGAGGTCCACGTGCGGTGACGTTCCTAAAGGTACTGTATCCGCGACTGGTCGTCGCTGCTGGTGAAAAGAGGGCTGGTTATTTTCTCGCTCTATAAGCTAAGTACAGCCATTCAGCGAGGAAACACAGCCAGCGTTCTTGGCACGATACCACGGGGAGTAGGACTGTATGATAATTTCAATTCTTATTTTTAGTTTTACTTTACTATATTTTTTAATAATGTGTGTATTTTTTAGTTATATTTAATTTTAATATGTTTTAAACAACATTACGTGAAATATTTTTAAAAGAAGCATGAAAAAGAAGAGAAAAAATAATGATATAATTTTTTTCTAGTGATTTTCAGTTGAAGCTTATGCAACAGCAACATTAACAAAGGGTGAGAAATTGTGTGATAAGAGAAATGTGTGGTTTGTTAAGAGGGTGGGTCATGTAGAAAGAATAATGAGAAAAAAGTCACAAAGCAAATTTATTGTGTAGGTGGCAGAGTCGGATAGGGACGCCCGAGACAGAAGTTTACCGAACTAATTGGCGATAACATAGCGATAATACATACATATTATGTATGTTGATAATGGGCCAAGTTATGAGTACCCTTATTAACAGACGAGCATGTAAGCGTATGTATATGGATTATAGGCGTAAATTGGACGTGAAGGAGGCGAGATGTGTGTCCATTTATACTAGGGTTGCCACCTTTTTTTTGAACAGATATAGTATTTTTTCGAAAAAATTTACGAAAATATAGTTTTTTTGAGAAATTCAGAAGAAAACAAGTACACATTTATTTTTAATCTATGTATTTTCCCATCCATATTTGTTATTGCTCTTTGCTTTGGCCGTCAATGATCTAACCACATTACCTTCTACATTACCTTTAAAATAATTATAGCAGTCTCAGAAATTTAGAGTCATATTAAAATAAATTAACAATTAATTTTAAATTAAATTAATACATGCTCTTTTTCTTTCTTCTTTCAATTTTACATTCATAGTGGAAAAAATTCTTCCTGTAAAACTACTTTGAAAAAGTAGTTTGTTCAGAATCGTTTACTGAATCGATTCCTATCATTTTTAATATAGGTAATTTTTATCCCAAAAAATAATTAAAACTACGTAAATTACAGTCACACTACATCTGTACAGTCAAAACAAACTGAAATGGACCGTAACTTAAGGCAATAAGACTTTTAAGAGTGCAGTTTTATTTGTATTATTACTAATGCTGTCATTCAATAAAAATAATGAAAAATGAACTTTATTTCAAGCACGTTAAAGTCTTTGCGTTCCTGGATTTGTACTGTGACCACAACATTCTTCCGGAATTAGTATAACTAATTTGATAAATAATCAGTGCATAAAATGTTTAACTAAAAATTCAGTATATGTATTATGATTATAACGTAATATACTAGTTGGGGTGTCTGAGGGTGTGCGTTAATTACGCATATATATATATATATATATATATATATATATATATATATATAATTATACGTGTCACGTTGTTTGTCCGCGTTGGACTCCTAAACTACTTAACCGATTTTAATAAAATTTTCACACCGTGTGCAGTTTCATCCAACTTGAGAGATAGGATAGTTTTTTTTTTTGCCCATGAGTGAGCCACAATTTTTTTTTGCTAATTTAAGGATTTTTAATAGGACATGACAAAGGGTCGTCGAAAAGGGCAGAACAACGTCTGCATGGCAAGCTAGTATATATATATATATATATATATATATATATATATGTCTGCTTGTCTGTTTGTTCCGGCTAATCCACGAAACGACTGGATCGAGTTTGACGTGACTTCCACTGGCACTGGCAGATAGCTTATATTAGAAGGAGTAACTCAGGCTTTTTTACCTTTAGAAAAAGGATTAGGGTCGCGCAAAAAAAGTTAAATTCCTAAATTACACGCGGGCGAAGTCACGGGGAACAGCTAGTAGATAAATAAATATGTAGCAAGCTAGGTGTCCGGATCGTAACAAATCCAAATGAAAGTTCGTACTCTCTGTCTAGAGCCTACCTCTCTATTTGCAGGTGTAAGCTAAGTGTTTAAGTTTATGTTAAGAAGAACTACAATAGTTCAACATTAGTATGAGTATATTTTCAGTGTCGGATAATTTAACAGAAAAATTTAAACTGGGAATATGAGTATGTAACAGCTGTGTAAAACAATGTAATTTTGAAAATAACTCACTCGAGAGAAAAATCAGTTTCTATAGAAATGAAATCACAATGCGGCGGCCATATTTATTACGATCGGCGTACCGTTGGATGAATTATCGTCCATAGAGTAATTACACTAAAGACCGATTTACACTTCGACAAGTACAGTAGCTAGTTTAGTTACAGGTCAGTTGACAGTAAACGGTTAAGTGGGTAGTAGCGTTCAAACAATGTCTTCGTGGCGAGTTAAGGACATTAGTTCATAGAGTTCGTTGGAGTATGACGTTTCAAGACTAGAGAATTTTTCTGGTTTTCGTTTAAGATGGTTCTAGGATTACGTGAAGAATTATATGATCCAGTCAGAGAAGTATTAATGGTTGTTGTTAAAGAAGTTTTTAAGAATTGAGTGCACCATCTCGAGCAGATTTAATTTTACAATTTGAACTTCTACTATTATATAAACATTCGTTTTCTAAATACTCCTGTACAAATTTATACGTGATATCTTCCATCCATTTTATTATTAAAAGTCAATAAAATCGTAAAAATATTCAATAAACAGTATCGTACAAACTTTGTGGCGAGTTTAATTATAGAAGTGTACAATTGTACGTTTTGGCGCGCAAACATTGCGTTCTGTCAACTTATGCACTGAAAAAAACTCGCTCGTTTACACGAACGGCGAGTTTAGTTGCGGGTGGCGAGAGACGGGCGGGAGGGCAGCACTTCGCACTTAACTGGCCGAAAAATAGCTCGGCCGGTTATACCGTTCAATTTAATTGTTAACTTGCTACTTAACTCGCTTATTGCCGTTCAAACGAGGTTCAAACTTAAATCGCGAGGTTCGCAAGTTAACTCGCTACTGTACTTGTCGAAGTGTAAATCGATCTTTAGAGTGATAGTGTCATTCGGAAATCCGTTCAAAGTTGAAGCAACAACACAATGAGTGTGTGCATAAGCCACCTGTAATTACGTTTGCCCGCACGCACACAAGCAAATGAGTAATGTATGCAATGACGATTTCCCCAAAAAATGGGCAAAGGCACGGTCCTGAGCTACCTGCATCCATCGACTTACTGCATGTCTTACCAGATCGTCGCTCCATCTAGTGGGTGGTCGCCCTACACTACGCCTACCGATACAAGGCTGCCACTCGAGAACCTTTTTTTCCCATCGGTTGTCGGTTCTTCGAGCTATATGGTCGGCCCATTGCCACTTCAGTTTACAAATCCGTTGGGCTATGTTGGTCACTCAAGTTCTACTGCGGATATCCTCATTTCTTAGTTGATCGCGCAGAGAAACTCCGATCCCTCTCCATAACTCGCTGAGCGACCTTGAGCATTCTCATACGGCCAGCAGTGAAGGACAACGTCTCAGATCCTCAAGTCTTCACTGGCAGCACGCACTGGTTGTACAATCTCTTTTTCAAATTTTGAGGTACTATATCTGATGAGACGTTCATTCAGAACGTCTCGTCAGATATGGTACCTGGTAGAGACGTTCGTGCTCTAATCCAGAATCCCGAAACCTTTCTGCTCGAGTTACTAACCGCTTCCAGTGACTAGAAGATTGCAATGCAGCGGACGATATGAATGACAAGCTCGTGGAAACTCTCCATGCGGTCGGAGCTAAGTTCTGTAAGACCCGCCGCAGAAGAACACAAAAACTCTCCAATC